GCCACGGCCGGCCCTTGCTGGCCGTCCGGCAACTCCTATCGACTAATCCAACCTCAACTGACTTAACATGATCATTAACATGAAATAACTTGAAAACATGACTTCTTGCACGAAGAGCTGGACTCGGCCGCGGCGGGCGCACCGTGCGCCGCCGACGGCGGTAAGCCGTTTTACGACCAAACTTCATTTTTCTCTCGGAAATTCATACGTAACTGATCATGAACAATATAAATAGACATGGATGTTGAAAGGAGTATTTACTTTATGAACTTGATACGCATGAACGGCCCGTGGCTCGTGCTACATGCACGGCCATGTCCTTCGGCCAAAACAACGACTGAACTTCATATTCTTTCGAACAACTTAAACTGAATAGACATGATATAACATAAAAGGCTGATTACATGATTATTTCTCGAGAGACTTTAACTTAAAACATGAGCACACTCACGATGCACTCGCACGGACGAACAACCTAAAGCCGCACCATGAACATGAACAATTCGGAATTAACATGACCTTAACATGAGTATTCTAAGGTAATTTGAAGTTACCTCTTCGAACCAATAACTTAGCGCACAAACTGATCGGAATAATCAGCTTCCGTGCGTGACGACGCTCTCGCGTGCGGTGTGGGGTGCGTACTCGTCGTGCGGTACTCGCGGTAAGCATGGGCGTGCGTGTGTTAAGAATTCTCACAACTCTCCTTACTAGCATATATATGTACTTAGTAATTTAAGATATATAGGCTGAAGAAAATGTTGGGAAAATTTTCCGCAAGGCTCTCCTTATATACTAACCGAAGGGAAAATTTTAAAGGATGACATGCCTTGGTGGCTTAACCACATTTTTCCACTTGCTACAATAATAAAAGGCTTAAGGTGATTAATCACCACAAAATTCTCCTAAGATGCCACGTTTAAGTATATGGAGGAGAGAAGAAATGTTGCCCTCACATGAAGAAATTTGCTACGGCAATTTAGAATAGAAATTGGACAAAATTTAATAAGGCTACGGCAATTTAATTTATTGAAGCACAATAAGTTTAATTGCTTACGGCTTTTAATGACTAAATTTGATTAATTAATAATTAATCACTACATTATGCCTAATTAATTATTAAGCATAATACTTAATTACCAAAATTATTTCGAACGTAAACGGGACGTCGAAAATAATTTCGGATAATTTCGACTGAAAATAATTAATTCCGAAAATAATAATCGACAATATTATTATATCGGAACTAAAAACAGGTATTATATTATTAAACTGACGGGATATTACAATCCTCCCTCCTTAAAAATTTACGTCCTCGGAAATGCAAAACGAACTGAATAAACATGAAATATGTACATTGAACATGAAAATATGTACATCAAAACTGGAAATCTAGAAAACGAGCACGAACATCAGACTCTGCCTCCCAAGTAGCTCCGTGGCGATCCCACTGAATACGCACGAGGGGAATATCTCGCTTTCGGAGCCGACGAACCTGAAGGTCCAGTACAGCTGTCGGTCGCTCCTCGTATGATAAGTCTGGCTGAACCTGAATATATGTATGAGGGATAACATGATCGGGGTCGGACACGTACTTACGCAACATAGATGCGTGAAAAACATTATGAATGCCTGATAGCTCGGGAGGTAAGGCTAATCGATATGCAACTTCGCCTACTCGCTCGAGAACTTCGAACGGGCCAATGAATCGAGGGTGCAGCTTCCCACTCTTCCCGAATCGAACAACTCCACGAATAGGACGAACTCTAAGAAAAGCTGGCTCGCCAACTTGAACTGAATGTCTCGTCGATGATGATCGGCTGAAGATTTCTGTCGACTCTGAGCTATCTTGAGTCTCTGCCGGATCAACTCGACCTGATTTTCCGTCTCCTCGATAATCTTTGGACTGAGTACTCGTCGCTCTCCGACGTCGTCCCAATAAATAGGGGAACGACACTTGTGACCGTAAAGTGCCTTGTAAGGAGCCATCTGAATAGAAGAATGATAGATGTTGTTGTACGCGAACTCGGCGTACGGCAACAACGACTCCCACTTAACACCGTTGTCAACAACCAAAGCGCGTAGCATATCCTCAAGCGTCTGAATTTTCCGCTCGGACTGACCATCTGTCTCCGGATGGTAGGCTGAACTGAATCTAGCTTCGTGCCCATCGCCTCGTGTAAGCTATGCCAGAATCTACTGACGATTCTGGGATCTCTGTCTGATACGATAGTAACGGGTACTCCGTGGAGTCGGATGATCCCACGGGTATATATCTCAGCCAACTTATCCAAAGACATCTTCATCGAAACGGGTAAGAAATGCGCGACCTTAGTCAATCTGTCGACCACGACCCAAATAGCATCGTGATGTTCAGACGACCTCGGTAATCCCGTGATGAAATCCATCGTGACTTCCTCCCACTTCCAACGCGGAATCGGCAGTGGTTGCAGGAGACCGATCGGACTCTGATGTTCGGCTTTGACTTGCTGACAGGTAAAACATCTCCTGACGAACTCAGCGACGTCCTTCTTTATTCCTCGCCACCAGAACGACCCCTTCAGGTCATGATACATCTTCGTGCTCCCGGGATGGGCTAGATAGGGTGCGGTATGAGTCTCCGACAATATCTTCTTCCGCAACGCCTCGACTTTCGGGACCACGATCCTGCCTCTGAACTCTAAGGCACCGTCTGAACCTAACTGAAAACCCTCGATGCCTCCGGCGCGGACTTTGGCCTCCATGACTCGAACGAACTCGTCAGAAGCCTGTTCCCGCCAGATTCTCTCTCTCAGCGTCGGCTGAAGCTGCATGGCATTGACACTGGCACTGACACTTCCCGGAATAGCTGTGGGATGTGCGTCGATCGCCTGAATCTGCATCCGGGCGAACTCCTGAATCAACGGACTCTGCTGAGTAACGACGTACGTCAAGTCACCCCTCACCTTTCGGCTTAGGGCGTCAGCAACGACGTTCGCCTTCCCCGGATGATACTGAATCGAGCAATCATAATCTTTAACGAGCTCGAGCCAACGGTGCTGTCTCATGTTAAGCTCCTTCTGAGTAAAAATGTACTGCAAGCTCTTATGATCGGTGAAAATCTCACAACGACCGCCGTAAAGATAATGTCGCCAAATCTTGAGGGCATGAACAACTGCTGCTAACTCCAAGTCGTGCGTCGGATAGTTCTGTTCATGTGGCTTGAGCTGACGTGAAGCATACGCGACGACCTGGCCATCCTGCATAAGGACGCATCCCAAACCCTGCCTCGAAGCATCGCTGAAAATAGTGAAACTCCGAGAAGGATCGGGAATAGTCAACACCGGTGCTGAAGTTAATCTCCTTTTGAGCTCCTGAAAGCTCGACTCACATCGATAAGTCAACTCAAACTTCACAGATTTCCTTGTCAGCTGGGATAGTAGGAGGGCAATCTTAGAAAAACCCTCGATAAAACTGCGATAGTAGCCAGCTAAACCGAGAAAACTGCGAACCTCGGACGGACTCTTCGGTGTCGACCAGTTCTGAACAGCTGAAACCTTAGAAGGATCCACCTCGATACCTGCCTGAGTAATCACATGACCCAGAAAAGCTACTCGCTGGAGCCAGAACTCACATTTGGAGAATTTGGCGTACAACTTTTCTCGTCTGAGGGTTTCGAGAACCACCCTCAGATGCTCCTCGTGCTCCTTCTGGCTCTTCGAGTAGATAAGAATATCGGCAATAAAGACAATTACAAACTGATCGAGGTAGGCATGGAAAATACAGTTCATCAGGTCCATGAAAATCGCTAGAGCATTACTGAGACCGAATGGCATGACGACGAACTCGTAATGGCCGTAACGAGTCCTGAAAGCGGTCTTAGCGATATCTGACTCCTTAAACTTCAGCTGATGGTAGCCTGATCGCAAATCAATCTTCGAGAATACACAGGCTCCCCTCAACTGATCGAATAAGTCTTCGATCCTGGGAAGTAGATACTTGTTCTTGATCGTCAACCTGTTAAGCTCCCGGTAGTCGATACACATGCGCATGGATCCGTCCTTCTTCTTGACAAAGAGAACGGGTGCTCCCCAAGGTGACACGCTCGGTCGGATGAAACCGAGTCGTAATAACTCCTGAATCTGCGCCTTAAGCTCCTGCAATTCCTTCGGCGCCATACGGTTCGGGGCTTTGGATACTGGGCCGGCTCCTGGAACGAGATCGATAGAAAACTCCACCTGCCGGTTAGGCGGTCCTCCTGGAAGCTCGTCTGGGAACACGTCCACAAACTCACGGAAACCTGGAACATCGTGAGGTGATCGTGCTTTCTGAGAATCATCGACAAGGATCACCAGATAACCCTGGCAGTTGCCTCGTCGCAGCAACTTGGTAGCTTTCGCCATTGAAACGACATGAGGTAATGAACAATTCCGAGTGCCAAAGAAAGTAATCGAATCGTCTCCCGGAAGATAGAGAGTAATCTCCCGGTCGTGACATCTGATATCGGCATGATAAAAGGATAGCCAATCCATTTCGAGAATGAGGTCAAAGTCCCTCATCTCAAGAACATATGCGTCGGTAGACAATGAACGACCACCGATGGAAAGGCTGAGATCTGAAGCTTTAGCTGAGGTCACTATCTTTCGTCCCGAGGCTAGACTCACCTCGAGAGGATCGACAGCGGTAATCGCATGAACTCCGATGGCATCAAGGCATCGTCGTGAAATAAAGGAGTTTGTCGCTCCAGTATCGAATAAAGCGAACACAGGAATATTATTAAGCATGATCATCCCTGACATAGTACCTGGCTGCTGCTCGGCCTCGACCTGATCGACTGCGTAGACTTGGGACTATTGTCTGCCCCTCTGTTGCTGCTGCTGTGGTGGCCTCTGAGCCTGCTGACGGGGCTGCTGCTGCTGCTGAGGCTGCTGAGGCTGCTGGGGCTGCTGTGCCTTCTTCGGACAACGGTTAGCAAAGTGTCCGGGCTCGTGACAGTAATAGCATATATCCTGGCCGAAGCGACACTCGCCTCGGTGGAAACGTCTGCATGTGGGGCACTGTGGAACCTGCTGCTGCCTCTGGCGAGTCCTCCTGTCGGTCTGTGCGCCCTTCCCCTTCCTCTTCTTCTCCTTTGTCGGTTGGGCAGCTGGCAGGGCTGGTGGAGCTGCGGATGACTGGGCGGGGGCGGATGGCTGAGGACGATCACGAATGGCCTTCCTCCTGATGCTGGCATCCACCTCCTGGGCAATAGAAACTGCACGAGCGTACGTCTGGGTCCCGTGACCTACAATGTTATGATGGACTGCTGGGTAAAGTCCGTCAATGAAGCGCTGTACTCTCTGGGCCTCCGTGCGAACCAAGTCAGGAACAAAAGCTGCAAGTCTGGTAAACTCTCTTTCTTACTCGTCTACAGACCGAGTACCCTATTTGAGCGATAGAAACTGACGCTCCATCTCTGCTCTGTAGTAGGTGAGGTAGTACTTCTCGCGGATCAGCTCCTTTAGCTTATCCCATGTACATCCCGTCTTCTCACCGGGACGCATGCTCCAGTAGGCATTCCACCAGAGCCGGGCATCACCGGTTAACTGAAGCTGAGCGCAGATTACGCGATATCTGTCTGGACAATCCATGACCTCGAAAATAAACTCGAGGCCCTGAATCCACTCGTCCACGATACGAGGGTCTCCCTGCCCGGAGAACTTCTGAGGGTGATAGTCGCGAAACTGTGTGACCACCGTGGCCTAAGGAAGAACCGGGTGACCGGTTCCCTACGGGGCGGCATTTGAACATTGAAAAAGTTCAAATTATTGAACACATTAAAAATATTCTGACTGATTTCTAAAGTACACAGATCTCTTGACGAGTTGCCAAAAATAGTTGAAAAATACTGATATAGATCCTGAAGACGTCTAGAGTTATATCTGAGTACACTGAGTTCTAAGGTCTGATTCTGATTCGAGCATCTTAACTAAGTCATGATTTAATAATTTATGAGCATAGACAATAGTAATATGTTTATAACTGAAAACATAAATCAGCACTTACATGTAGTTGGCGAGGAGTGAGTGTGACGGTTCAGGTTTTCCTGAAAATTTCTGACTTATAAAACTTTTCAGAGATGCAGAAACTGCTCTGATACCAATTGTAACACCCCGCTATTTTACTGAAATCAGAGTACGCATTTTTCGCAAATTTTCTGAATAATTTAATAAAATGTTTATTTTGCGAAAACTGATTCGGAGTGCTGCCGTGAAAATCTGACTTAAAAACCGTTAATTTTAAACTTATAATAAAAACGGTTATATAATATTTTAACCGACTAGTGTCGGACCAAAAACTGAGTTTAAGTACTGAAAGTTTTAGCGGAAATGTAGCTGGCCAAAACATAGTTTATACATAACAAAGCAAATGTCATGAATAGCTCGTCAGCTCACTCCTCGTCCCCGACTCCGTGACCTGAAAAACATGAAATATGTGGGGCGTGAGCACTAAAATACTGTGCTCCGTGGAAACTCATACTAAAGTAAAACAGTGAAAATAATAACAATATCATGATCCTGGCATATATATAATTGAACTGAACTGAAACTGATAACTGATATCTGATACCGGTCCGAATAACCTGATACTGATCTCGTGACATAAGTCACCTGTCTGAAACTGAACATCTGCCGGCAAAGCCGGACACCATGTGCTTACTCTAGTGGGCAGATTAAGGCTACTAGAACCCATAATGGACCAGCAACCATTTCGAGCGGATACTGAATATACATACCTCAAACATGGTAGAGTAATTATAATCAATGTAGTACTTAGTCTGAGTCCCCACCTAAACTGCTGAAAATGCAGGTAGTGCTGATACCTGATCAAATTGAAAAATAATATAAACAATTACTAAGGACTATGCTCAGACTGATAAATTAACTGATTAA